ATTAATATTTCTATATGAAAAAAAAGACTTAATATATTTACATAAACTTTAAATAGTTTAGTTACAAAATGGATCAGAGCATTTATGATTTAAACCTCTATAGTACATGCCAAAAAAATTACAAAATAATAAAACAACCTACTGTTTAAATCGATATGATATGATCTTCTCCAAAGTGTATGTTGTATTGTCCTATCTTTACTCTTCGGACCTCTTTGAACCTACGTGTGAAAACACTCACACACAAAGTCATTGACTTAGTGAGGCATAAATGAGCATAATAAACATTAAAGCATTTACTTAAACATTTAAAAAAAACATTGAATACGGAAATCAATATGCATTTCATAAAAATAACTTATAATGTTATGCACTGATCAATTTATATCAATTTGTTCAATTAGCCCAACTCATATCACTAAGAACTCAAAGTATGTGAGTACTTTGAGGTTGTGCATTGTAATTGCAGTCGAAACTGACACGTAGAATTTGCACTGAAGTGCCACGCAAAATATGCACCGAAGTGCCACATAGATTTTGTTCCGAAGGACCGCGTAGAACCCTCGACTCTTGGCATGCCAACTATACCTCTAATTCTCATAGCATATACTTTGGGCTTTAACCATATAAGTATTCACATAACATTCTTCATTATCATTCATTCACATAGAACATATATGCTCATAGTAACATAATTAAAACAATGCTTATGAAATACAATTTAAGTAAAACAATAAAATTTAACATAAATTAATTCCAATAGTTTTCAATCGAAAACCTTTAAGGTTGGCTCATCGTAAGCCGTCCTCATATCGAATATAAAATAAGTAAATTGCACTCACATTTGCCTCACTTGAGTCCTTAAGCAAAATTTCTTTTTACTTTCACTCAATCTCTTACTACTTTGAGTCGTTCGATACTTACTCTTGATCGCAATCTACATATGAACATAATCAAAATGAATATCGGATCTCACATAGTTATTAACCAATCAACATTTTCATAAACTAAAGAAAACACCAAATTCACATTTTCAGGCTGAACAGTATCGATACTCTACACTTAGTACCGATACTTCCCTTCTATGGTACCGATACCAACTTCAGTACCGATACCCTTTTTGCATTATAGAATTTCCTTTTCAATTACAGTATTGGTATCATCCATTGGTATAGATACCCCCAATATCGATACCACTCATGCAGTATCGACATTGTTCATCCTATTCATATAATTTCCTTCCATTAACCTTATAGTATCTGTACTGTTCTTCTAGTACCAATACCCTTGCCCAGAATTCACCTATTTCACTTCGAGTTTTACCCAAAATTCACCTAAATCTCATACATTTAACTCTTAGCAAAGGGAAGGTTCACGGTAGAAAATGAATGAGAGAATATGAACAAATGCTTCTAGGCTTTCCTTTTTCCTATCATTTCTTTTCCTCACATGCTTAAATAACATTATAATGAATTTTAAATTCATTTCATGCCAAAAGGCCATTTTACCTTTCCATCTTTCAATCTTTATTAATATGTGCAAAACAAAATTTTCCAAATCAATCCTTGAACATATCAATTTAGCAAAATTAAATCACTAAATTTTAAATCCCTATACTTTAGCACTGACCCGATGTTTGGGGTATTACATTTACTATATCGATTTGTTCGGTACTTGCTTTCGATTAAAATCTACACGTTAACATAACCAAAATGAATACCGGATCTCAAATAATTGTTAATCAATCGACATTAACATCAACTAAACGAAACCCCTAATTTACAATTTCAAGCTGAACAGTATCGATACTCTACACCCAATACCAATACTTCCCTTCTATGGTACTGATACCTACCTCAGTATCGATACCTAAATTGCATTATGGAATTTCCTTTTCAATTACAGTATCGATACCATACTATTGGTATCGATACCCCAGTATCGATATTACCCCTTCAATTTCGATTATGTTCATCTGATTCATACAGTATCAATATTGTTCTTACAGTACATATACCCATGCCCAAAATTCAATCATTTTACATCGAAATTTCCCCAAATTCATCTAAATCTCATACTTCTAACTCCAATCAAACCCTTAAACTTACTAACACTTATCACAACCAACTTATCCCATTCAACATCCAAAATTTTCACTAGAACACTTAAAACTAAAAATCACACCTATTCTTCAAACATGTTTCCAATCCTTTCTAATACTTCATATACCTTATTCAAACCTTTGAAAATTCAAATATACCTTTAAGATCCAAATACTAATCAATTTTCATCAATTCCCTTAAAAACCCATTTTACCAAATCACCATTAACTCATCAATCCCATAGCTTCTAATCATATTTAAGCTTTCTTAGGCTTCTATACCACCCAAAGACTCAAAACCAAACCATAAATTCAAGAAACAACCAACTTCAAAAAAGACTCACCTTGGCAATAGAGGTTCATGGTGGAATAAAGAAGATAAGATAAATAAAATGCTTCTAGGCTTTTCTTTTCTTTTTCTTTCTTTTCTTCACATGTTATATAACATTTAAAATGAATTTTAAATTCATTTAATGCCAAAAGACCAATTTGTCCTTCTATCATTTAATATTTAATAAAATATCCTAAATAAAAATTTCCAAATAAATCCTTGAACATTTCAATTTATCTTAATTAAACTGCTAAATATTTAAATCCTTACACTTTAGTCACTGACCCGATGTTTGGGGTATTACAATTCTCCCCCTTAAGAAAATTCATCCTCGAATTTTCATTGCACAAAGAGATAAGGAAATTATCTTCTAATGTCCTCTTTACACTCCCATGTCGCCTCTTCCACTTTGTGATTTCTCCAAATAACTTTAACTAATGTAATCATCTTGTTCCTTAGTTGTTTAACTTTATGTGCTAAAATCTACACTAGTTCTTCCTCATAGGTCAGATCAGATTGGACTTATATTTCTTCCGGTGCTATGATGTGAGTAGGATCTGATCAATATCTTCTGAGCACCAAAACATGAAAAACATTGTGAATCTTCTCCATTTCTGGTGGTAATGCTAAGTGATATGTCATTGGTCCCACTCTCTTTATAATCTCATACGGGCCAATGAATCTAGGTCTGAGCTTTCGTTTTAGACCAAAACGAAGCATTTTCTTCCAAGAAGAAACTTTGAAAAACACTTTATCTCCTACTTGGTACTCAATCTCATTTCTTTTCAAATTCGAGTAGGATTTTTTTCTGTTTACTGCCACATTAATGTTATGCTGGATCACCTGGACCTTTTCTTCTATTTCTTTAATCAAATCGGGACCAAGAACATCTTGATCTTTTAATTCGTACCAATTAAGAGGTGTTCTGCACTTTCTTCCATACAATGCCTCATACGGTGCCATTTTAATGCTAGATTGATAACTATTATTGTATTCAAACTCTGCGAGCGACCGATATTTCTCCCAAGATCCATGGAAATCAATCACATACGCTCTTAGCATATCTTTCAAAATCTGGATAGTCCACTTAGATTGACCATCTGTTTGTCGGTGAAAAGATGTGCTAAAGTTCAATCGAGTACCCAAGGCTTCATGTAAAGACTTATAAAACCTTGACATAAACTTTGGATCTCTGTCAGAGACTATTGAACTCGACACTCTATGAAGTCAAAAATCGATCACTTGATTATTCAACATATTTATTCGTCGAATAATCAGTTCAAACATGAATAAAATGTGTTGTCTTCGTCAATCTATCAACTGTCACCCAAATAGAATCCTTTTTATTCGGTGTTAACGGTAACCCCATTACGAAATCCATCGTAACTTTCTCCCACTTCCATTGAGGAATAGAGATCGGTTGTAAAAGTCCTGAAGGTACCTGATGCTCAGCTTTTACTTGTTGACAAGTTAAGCACTTTACAATAAACTCTGTGGTAGCTCTTTTCATACCTGGCCACCAATATCAACCTTTTAAATCTTGATACATCTTGTTCCCTCCTGGATGCATAGTCAACGGACTACAATGTGCTTCAAAAAGTATATATTTCTTCAAATCTTCATCACTTGGAACACAAACTCGATCTCTATAGTATAAAGATCCATCAGACTTTACTTCAAAATCCTTGATTTCTCTTTTTTCCACTTGTTCCATTCTTTCTAAACAATTTCCACCTCTCCTTTGCAACTCCTTTATTTGCTCCAACAATAAAGGCTTTAGCTTTAATTCAGCCACTAGAGCACTACTATCCTTTGAAAATAATCGATCATCAAACGTACGTAAAGCTGAAAAAGTCTTTCGGCAAAGCGAATCAGCTACAACATTAGCCTTCCTGAGATAATAGTATATGATTGCATCATAATCTTTAAGTAACTCGATCCATCTCCTTTGTATGAAGTTTAGCTCCTTTTGAGTCAGTAAATATTTTAAACTTTCGTGATCAGTGCAAATATAACATCGCTCACTATATAAATAGTGGTGACATATCTTAAGTGCAAATACCACCACTACAAACTCAAGATCATGATTCAGATAATTTCGTTCATGTGGCTTAAGATGTCTCGAAGCATAGGCTACTACCTTTCCTTCTTGCATCAAAACACATCCTAGACCATTATAGGAAAGGGCACTATAGATTGTATAGTCCTTGCCCGATTCTGGTTGTACCAGCACTGGAGCCTCCGTTAAAACCTTCTTTAAAGATTAAAAACGCTCTTGGCATTTATCCGTCCAAATAAATAGGACATATTTCCTCAACAACTCTGCAAAAGGGAGGCAATCATCGAAAAGTCCTTTACAAACCTTCGATAATATCCAGCTAATCCCAAGAAACTTTGTACTTCAGAAACATTTCTTGGAACTTCCCAATCTATAATAGATTTAACCTTATGAGGATCCACCTAAATCCCCTCTGCAGACACTAATTGTCTAAGGAATGCAACTTCAGGTAACCAAAATACACTTAGACAACTTAGCATAAAGCTTCTTATCTCGAAGTGTCTGAAGAATCACTGAAGATGTGCGTCATGTTCTTCATTCGTCTTTGAATAAACCAAAATATCATCAATGAAGATGACAACGAACTGATCAAGGTACGGTTGGAATACTCTATTTGTAAGATCCATAAACGTTGCCGGTGCATTAGTTAATTCAAACGGCATTACCACAAATTCATAATGGCCATATCGGGTCCTAAAAGCCATTTTTAGAATATATTGTTCTTGTATCTTTTGCTGGTGATAGCCATAACGCAAATCAATTTTGGAGAACACCAAAGCTCCCTTAAGTTTATCAAATAAATCATCGATTCTTGAGAGAGGATACTTATTCTTTATTGTCACCTTGTTGAGTTGTCGATAATCCATACATAGACGCATCGAACCATCTTTCTTCTTTACAAATAGCACTGATGCACCCCAAGGTGATATACTAGGTCTGATGAATACTTTATCCAATAACTCTTGCAACTGAGCCTTTAAATCACTCAATTCCTTCGGGGCTATTCTATAAGGAGCCATCGAAATTGGTGTCATTCTTGGAATTACCTCAATTTGAAATTTAACCTCTCTATCAGGAGGTAATCCCAATAATTCATCTGGAAACACGTCTAGAAATTCTTGGACCATCAGAATGTCCTCCAATCTAATCTAAGTGGCTCGAGTATCAATCACTTTGACGATGAAAGCTTGACATCCTTGCAACATTAGCTTCTTAGCTGACATTACTGATATCACATTAGATAATGGATTAATTCTCTCGCTGACCACAATTACCTATGATTCATCTAAACTTCTCAAAACTACCCGCTTCAATCGACAATCAACATTAGCATGATAACGATACAACCAATCCATTCCGAATATAACATCGAACTCGTCAAAGGGTAATTCCATTAGATTAGTAGGGAATTCAATTCCCTGAATCCTTATAGGACACCTCGACAAATCTGGTTCACCATAGCACTATGCCCTAATGGGTTAGTCACAATTACATCACTACTTATAGCTTATAACTGAATTCTCAAATCTCTTACTAGTTTACTACAAATATAGGAATAAGTTGATCCCGGGTCAATCAATACCAAAACAAGTTTATCAATTAATTGGAAAGTACATGCAATGATTTTCGGATCAACACGATCTTCATTAGTCTTAAGGTTGTATACTCGAGCAGTCACCTGCATTTCAGGTTGAGTGGCCGATTCAGACTGATTCCTTCCCCTACCTCTTCCTCTACCTCTTTGAGATACAGTAGAAAATCTCTCTGATTGTGAAGGCTCTCCGGTCATTAACAGAAATCCTGGATAAAATGTCCAGTGTCCCCACATCAAAAACATGCTCCGAAGACCACTTGACACACACCATTATGATTTTTTCCACAATGCTGACATTGACACGACCTTTCAGCTCCTGATTTAACTGATTGAGTCTGCCTAGCTCTCATAGGATTTGATCCTCTCCATGAGGATGCAACTGACTCAGATCTAGTTTGGGTTCTAGGTCGAAAACCCGAACCTCAGCTTCTCTTTGATTGTGATGCACTCGATGAGGAACCCACTCTATTAGTAAACTGGTTTTTTTTGCTCCCCGAATCTTTCACTTTGTGCTCTCTCCAAGGCTTTAGCTCGATTCACTACCTCTTGAAAAGTATGAAGATTTAATGCTATTAGCAGGTCCTTCAATCTGAGGCGCAAAACCTCCACAAACCAATCACAGGAATCTTTCTCAGTTGGGACCAATTCAGCTGTAAATCTACTCAATTTATTAAACTCACACTCATATTCATACACAGTGTAGTTCCCTTGCTTCAAATCCATGAACTCCTACTTCATTTGTCTAATGAATTGATCACTGATATATTTGTTCTTGAACTTGTCTAGAAAGAACAACCACGTCACTTGATCCCTAGATGCTCTTATCGTCACATTAGTCCACCATATACGTGCTTGTCCTCGTAGCAGTGATACTACTTCATCCAGCTTCTCCATTTCAGAATAATGGAGACCATTGAGCATAATTTTTACGTCATTAAGCTAAAGATTCGCAGAAACAGGACCTTCCTCAGCTTCTCCTCTAAACTCAGGTGCTCCTAAAATTTTTAGCTCTTTAGCAACATTCATCCTAGGAGCCGAGGGAGTGGACGGTTGGAAACACGTCAGAATCACATCCAACTTCTGAAAAATATTCCCTAATTTACTCCATCTCCCGCTTCACTTCGGGAGCCCTCGTAATTCGACATCTATTAAGATATAATCACTTAACTATATTAGCAACGACAATATACTCATTACATCATTAGATCAAAGATTTTTAATATTTTGTTGGCATGTACACCTTTGAAAACATAAATTACTTCGTTTTGAGCTTAAAATCGAATAAACCTTAACTCTAATACCAATAAATGTCACACAATTGACCCATACCCGACCGGGATATGAATCTGAGGTGTAACATTGACTTTCCAATACTTTGACTATTTGAAAATCTGATTAAAATTCAACTTTTTACTTTTATTTTAGTGGCGAAGCCCTTATACCCATTATTTAAAATTAAAATTAATATTAAACAATAAAAACAAACATTTAAAATACTTACATAAACCTTAAATTTATATAGTTACAAAACAGATAAGAGCATTTGCGATTTAAACCTTTGTAGTATATGCTAACAAAATTTTAAAATAACAAAACCACCTACCATTCAAATTGATCTGATCTGATCTTCTCCAGAGATATGTTATCCCGACCTAACTTTACTCACCTGACTTCTTTGAACCTACGTGTGAAAAACACTCACACTCTAAGTCTTTGACTTATTGAGACATAAATGAGCGCAATAAAATATTAAAACACTTGCTTAAGCACTTCAGAAGAAACATTGAATGCGGAAAAACATGATACATTTCATATAAGTAACATGTACTGTTGTGCATTGTTCAATCCATATCAATTTGTTTAAATAGCCCAACACATATCACTGAGAACTCAAGGTATGTGAGTACTTTGAGGTTGTGCACTGTAATTGCATTCGAAACTGCCGCGTAGAATTTACACCGAAGTGCCACGTAGATTTGTCCCAAAGGACCGCGTAGAACTGTCTCGAAGGAACACATAAAATTGTCCCGTACAACCGCGTAGAACCCTCGACTCTTAGCATGGCAGTTATACCTCTAATTCTCATAGCACATACTTTGGGCTTTAACCATATAAGTATTCACATAGCATTATTCCAATAATAATTCATTCACATAGAACAAATATACACATAGCAATAAAATCAAAACATTATAAATACATTTCAGAAAATAATGAAAATTGTTTTCGATTGAAAACCTTCGAGGTTGGCTCATTGCAAGCCGCCCTCACATCGAACATAAATAAGCAAATTGCACTCACCTTTGCCTCACTTAAGCCTTAAACAAAATATTTTTCATTTTCAATCAACCTCTTTACTATGTTGATTCGTTCGGTACTTGATTTCGAGCAAAATCTACACGTTAACATAACCAAAATGAATACTAGATCTCAAATAATTGTTAACCAATCATCATTTACATAAACTAAATAAAACCCCTAATTTACGATTTCAAGCCGAACAATATCGGTACTCTACACCCAATACCCGATACTTTCCTTCTATGGTATCGATACCTACCTCAGTATCAATACCCAAATTGCATTATGAAATTTCCTTTTCAATTACAGTATCGATACCATACTATTGGTATCCTACCTCTTCAGTATCGATTTTGTTCATCCGATTCATACAGTATCGATACTATTCTTACAGTACCAATACCCATGCCCATAATTCACTTATTTCACTTCGATTTTTCCCCAACACTCCCCTAAATCTCATACTTCTAACTCCAATCAAACCCTTAAACTTACTAACACTTATCACAACCAACTTATATGCATTAAATCCCTTCAACATCTAAAATTTTCACTAGAACACTTAAAACTAAAAATCACACCCATTCTTCAAACATGTTTCTAATCCTTTCTAATACTTCAAATACCTTATTCAAACATTTGACAAGTCAAATATACCTTTAATATCCAAATACTAATCAATTTTCATCAATTCCCTTAAAAACCATTTTACCAAATCACCATTAACTCATCAATCTCATAGCTTCTAATCATCTTTAAGCTTTCTTAAGCTTCTATACCACCCAAAGACTCAAAACCAAACCAAAAATTCAAGAAACAACCAACTTCAAAAATGACTAACATTGACAATGGAGGTTCACGATGGAATGAAGAAGAGAAGATAAATAGAATGCTTCTAGGCTTTTCTTTCCTTTTCTTTCTTTTCTTCACATATTATATAACATTTAAAATGAATTTTAAATTCATTTCATGCTAAAAAGACCAATTTGCCCTTCCGTACTTCAATCTTTAATAAAATGTCCTAAACAAAAATTTCCAAATCAATCCTTGAACATTTTAATTTATCTAAATTAAACCGCTAAATTTTTAAATCTTTACACTTTAGTCACTGACCCGATGTTTGGGGTATTATATGGGTAATACTTGGCCGACCAATTTAATAAACACCTCACGACCTCCATATGATAATAGACTTTTTGCCCATCCTTGCACTCTAGAAGCAACTTTTTTCCGAATAAACTCAAAAGTTGACGCTTTATTAGCCCCCACTAGCATCGATAAACCCAGATAGTTGCCAAGATCAGAAACTCTGGCAACGCCAAACAATGAGCAACACCAATTACGAGAGGATTGAGGTGTATGCGACTAAAATATACATTGGATTTGGCAAAATTAATTTGTTATCTTGAAGCAAGCTCATACAATTGCAAAACTTCATTTAATCATTCAAGTTCATGAGGCTGGTTACGAACAAATAGTAAACTATCATCAGCATAAAGCAAATGGGTTATCCATGGACTAGAACGGCTAGCAGAAGGCCGCAAATCTGTCGATTGTGCTGTTCCGAGTGCAGCAAAAAGGAAAGTGCTTGAGTACAAATCATAAATAGAAATGACGAGAGGGGGTCTCCTTGATGCAACCTTCATTTCAGAGAGAAACTGTCACTAAGATTACCATTTATTTGAATCTGGTAGGTGACAGGAAACACTAGACATAATTAACGACACCCATTCCGGAGCAAACCCAATCTGAAGCAATACAACGCTCAAAACGGACCATTCAACATGATCATATGCCTTTGTCATATCTATTTGAGAATAACACCTCGGGAAGCATCCGGAGAATCAAACTTCAATTACGATTTCATGGGCCACCAGAAAGTTATCTATGATAAGTTGGCCCGGGATAAATGTTGCTTGATCGTCGTTAATACTAGAAGGAATGATGGTTCTTAACCGATTAACAATAACATTTGAAACAATCTTGTAGACAACGGTTCACAATGCAATGTGTCAGAACTGGGAAATAAGAGACGGTTCAGCAACATTAGGCAAAAGCAATAAAACGGTTTGATTCACAATCGCCATTAAAACCTGGCCAGAGAGAAGATCAAGACAAAGGGTTATAATATCACCGCCAATGAGTGGTCAAAAAGAAGGAAAGAATCTAGCCAACTAACACATGAACGTTGATGCTCGAGTATGGAAATAGGACGTGTTTCAATCCCCATAATGTAGCCAACTAACACATGAACGTTGATGTAAATAGGCCTCATTACGTGTCAAACGCCCATTTAATTCCTATTTTAAATATGCACATTCACATAAGTCCTCCTCAGACATGTTTCCCCCAACAGTTGATCAATTTGTTGTTTGATTATAGAGATCCGACCAACCTCCTATCGACAGACACGCTGTCAGGCCTATAAATTAACTTCCACCGGTTGGATTTTGGAAATTGGAGATTGAACCTTTTGAATACATTCAGCCTCAGTTGTTGGTAAAATAGACTACAAAACCACACCGTTAGCACTGACATGAAAGATAAACAATAATTGAAAAAGAACAGAATGGTAAACCGTGTCGTGGTATAACCACTGCCTTAGAAACGAATTCGCCCCGATGTGTGTAATCGCTGCAGTAGGCGGACCGTCCCCCGAGATTAACACGGTCGCTCCGAATTTCGTACACCCGAAACTGGAGTAGACTGCTAATGGTATTGAACTTCTGATCGAAAACACACAGAAAGAACTTTAGAAAACACCAGATACATCTTAACGTTTTTTTATTTAATTTAGGAAAAGTTGTTTCATAAAGAAGATTGTGCGTCCTTTTCGAGTAATTATGGCTCAAATGAACTAACTTCAGGCGGTTCCCAAGCCCTCGACAGTTCCAGACATGAGATTCATGGTGACCGGTGGGGTTGATCTTCGGCCACCGTCGAAACAATAAAGATAGAACTAGTAGTAGGAGGTACAACAGGTAGAGGCGAAGATACCAAAGGAGGCCTTATTCACTTGAAATGAACCAACAATGAATCATCCGAGACATTCATAAGATGCCTCTTAGAAGAACGCTTGGATGAATGACCAATTGAGGTTACCTCCACAGTTGTTGTCATAGGCAATGCATCACAAGGCAATTAAGGAGGGGTGACCTCCGTTGTGCCAACGGCAGTGTCAACCTGAGACAAAGTAGGCACTCGAGAATCTTCAGGAGATGAACAGTACAATATCCAGTTGGGGACAAGGAGGTAATGTCGTGGAACCAGGAAACGAACGCGAAGCCAGTCACCATATTTATAAGGCGACGCAGAAAGGGCTCCATCAAGTGGACAATAGGAAACTGAGTGTCCAATAATCCACAGAAAAGCCAAAATGTAGGAAGTCTTTCATACTTAAGCATGGACAGTTGAGGCTTACC